GCCGACGGAGCGAGGAAGGTAAGAAACGGGGGAGAATGTTCACCGCGTTACATTCCACGTGATCGGGAGAAGGGCACGCCTCGGCCGCGCGAAGTCACGCGGGCGACCACGCGCTCACCCTCGCCGACACGTGTACGCGGCGCGCGGAGCGCGGCGGCGGCGGGGGGGCTACGTATTCTCGCGCGACGGCGACGGTGTTCGATGACATCGTCGCTGGTGCGGTTTATTGCGTAAATTGCGGCACGCTGAAACCGCCCGCCTCGCGCTTGCATAATACGGGAAAGTAGGTGGAAAATAGTCCCGGCCTCGCTCGGCTTTTCCATCGGAGCGGATGCAATGAGACTCGATCGATGCGCCGTGAATATTTCGCCGACTGATCGGCCGCGCGACGCTCGGCGATGATTCGCTCGGTGTTTTTCTTTTTTTTTTCAAGCTGCGAAATATTTTATCGATAATGTGCGTTAGATAAGAGTAAAGGCGCTTTATGTAGGTTTTTTGATCCTAAAAATAACTTTTTAGCGAGGTGACTTTCGAAAAGGATCCCCAGAGACGCGCGATAAATCGGTTCTCCACTTCGCGCAAGTCACTCCTTCTCCCGCATTTTTCCGCTTTCCGTTTCTGCATCGAAATACAACGCAGGTACTTAACGAGGACGCGATATGCAACGGACGCAATGACGGAGTACTTATCAGCGTAGAAAGCATGTGCACGCACCGAGCGAGCGAGTGCCTGGAATCGCAAAGCGAACCTTGTTCCGCCGAAGAAGTCGGCGGCACGGATTCCGGTGTTAGCCGAGGAGGACGAGGAGGAGGGGGGATGGGGGGAGGGGAGGAGGAATGCATGTTCGCACTACATTTAGCCACGAGCGGCACGCTTTTGCCCTCGAACAAATTTATCCAATCCCTCCCTTTCTATAAATATGCGAAAAACTTATATGTTATTGCTGCATTAATTGTGAATCACGCCATTTTCTTTTATTTCCATCACTATTATTACAGTGCACAGTGCACAGTTATATTACACTTGCAAAAAGGATAAATTTAGAGGAACGTTTTGTCCCACAGCGAAATATTATGAGGAACTACTGTCGAGCGGTTGAAAAGATCTGTGCGCCGAGAAAATAAATTTTTCGCAGACACATCGAGTTCCATGCGATCGAGCGGAGCACCGTCCGCGCCGGTGAGATTAAAATTCGACGAAAATAAAACATAAATCGAATGGAAAAGGCGGCCGACGGCTAATGACACG